AGGATAGAATTATGGGATTCATTATATGCAATGGCAAGGGATATGGATGCACCATGGCTTGTAGGAGGTGATTTCAATGTAATATGGGACGAAGAAGAGAAGTTTGGTGGGTTACCTGTGTCATTGAATGAAATTGATGATTTTCGACACTGCATCAACATTTGCAATCTATTCGACCTTGGATTTAAAGGCAACATATTTACATGGTGGAATGGGAGAGCAGAAGAAGACTGTATATTCAAAAGACTAGACAAATGTTTGGCAAATGGTGAGTTCCAACAAACATTTCCAGGAATAGAGGTGCAACATTTGTCAAAGACTGGCTCTGATCATAGTCCAATGTATCTGAAGTGTGATTTTGAGACTCCACCTATAAAAAAACCTTTTAAGTTCTTGAATTTTTGGGTGGAACATGCGACTTTTAAAGATGTGGTGAAAGAGAATTGGTCTGCTGATTTCAGTGCAAATCCTTTTATTCTTTTTAATCACAAGTTAAAAAAAATTAAAGAAGGCCCTATCATTGTGGAGTAAGGCTACATTTGGAGATATTTTCCAAAAGATAGCAAGTATGGAAGAGGTAGTGATGGTTCATGAAGCAGAATTTGAAGCAAATCCTACAGGGATGAACAGGGAAAGACTACAAAAGGTTCAGGCAGAATTGATCAAATGTCTGGCACTAGAGGAGAAATATTGGCAACAAAAGGCAGGCATGACTTGGTTCAAGGAAGGGGATAGGAACACAAAGTTCTTCCATGCACAAGTGAGAGGTAGGAGGAAGAGACTTAAACTTAACAGAATTCAAAACAGTGGAGGAACCTGGATTGAAGAAGAACAAGAAATTGCAGAAGAGGCTATCAAATTCTACGAGGAACAATTCACAGAAACAGCTACTCCTGCATCATTTGATATCGTAAAGCATGTTCCTAATCTGATTAGCACTGAGCAGAATGCAGAATTGATTAAACAACCAACAAAAGAGGAGGTTAAAGTGGCAGTACTTGGACTTAATGGTGATAGTGCTTGGGGGGCAGATGGTATGACAGGAAAATTTTATCATTCTTGTTGGGACTTAATAGGGGATGACTTGTACGACATGGTGAGGGCTTTTTTCAATGGTCATGAGCTACCCAAGTGTGTAACACACACAAACCTAGTTCTTCTTCCAAAGAAAAAAGAAGTTACCACCTTTTCTGATTTAAGACCAATAAGCCTCAGTAATTTTTCTAATAAGGTTATATCAAGGGTGGTACATGAAAGGCTAGTGAAATTTCTCCCAAGTCTGATATCGGAGGAACATGCAGGTTTTGTTAAGGGAAGGAATATAGTAGAAAACATCCTTCTAACTCAGGAGATAGTGACGGACATTAGACTTAGAACTAAGGCTGGACCTAATGTCATCCTGAAACTAGATATGACCAAAGCTTATGATAGAATATCTTGGCTATTTCTAACCAAGGTACTGAGAAAAATGGGATTCACAGAAAGATTGATAGGGATTGTCTTTGGATTAGTTTCAAACAATTGGTATTCTATTCTAATAAATGGTCAAGCTCATGGTTTCTTTAAGTCCTCAAGGGGAATAAAACAAGGTGATCATGTATCTCCAACTTTGTTTATATTGGCAGCAGAAGCATTATCTAGGGGTCTCAATGCACTACATACTAACCTGTATTTTAGTGGATTTGGGATGCTAAAGTGGAGTCCAAAGATCAATCATTTGGCGTATGCAGACGACATGATTATTTTCTCATCCTCAGATGAAACATCTCTGATGCTAATTATGCAAGTGATGAAGGCATATGAAAATGCATCTGGGCAGCTTGTTAACAAGACCAAATCAGCTATGTACCTGCATCATTTAATAGACATGGAAGTGGTCAGCAAGGTGGAAAGGATCACAGGCATTCATAGGAATGATTTCCCTATCATATATTTAGGTTGTCCGATATTTTATGCAAGGAGAAAGTTGGAATTCTATCAGCCCCTAATTACTAAGGTAATGGACAAACTGCAATCATGGCATGGCAAGTTATTATCAGTAGGGGGCAGGGCAGTTCTTATATCCCATGTATTGCAAAGTATGCCTATGCATCTACTGTCAGCTG